TGGGAGAAGGAGGGGGTGCGGCTGGGGGGGGGGCAGAGGCGGGGGCAGGAGCGGGGGGAGGGGCAGGGATGGGGAAGGAGGGGGCAAGGACTGAGGGAGGAGCGGGCAGAGGAGGGGAGAGGCTGAGGGAGGGGGCAGGGACTGGGGGAGGAGGGGGCAGGGATTGGGGGATGAGAGGGCAGAGGCAGAGGGAGGGGGCAGCCCCCAGCGCAGAGCCTGACAGTCCCCTCGCAGACAAAGGACTTGGTGGGAGCGAGAGCCCCGAATGCGCCATCGGAAGGCTCTGGGCGGCCCTTCGCGGGCGGCGCGCTCCGGCCGCAGCCAAGTTTGCTAGCTCGACAGATGGGGACGCCCGGCCGCCCGGCTTTCCAGACGCTGGGGGCTTGGCTCGCAGGGTGGGAGCCGGCTTAGCCGACATGGTGCCGGGCTCCTTGGCCGCACTGAGGACCCGGGTTGTGCCAGGGGCCCTTGCGGGCCTCCTGCCCGCGCTCCCACCGGCCCCTCCGGGAGGAGGCTGCGCCGAGGCAGGGCCTGTCCCTCCCGGGCGCCCCAGACTGGGGCGGGGCTGCTGGGCTCGCCTTCCGGGCCGGGGCGGCCGCCGGGCGCTCTTTGTTCCCGCTCCGCACAGCGCGGGGCCAGCCCAGAAAGGGGCGGGACAGCCGGGGCGGCCCGGCGCTGCACCCACGTCCCCAGCCCAGAAAATCGGGTCTGGCGTCCCTCGGGGACAAGGAGGCCTAGGGGCCTGGGGACCTCCTTCCTGGCACGACTTGACTGGGGGGTGGGGGGGAGGACAGAAGTCTGACACCTGCTCCCTGAGACTGTGGGGTCCTTCAGCCCCCTCCCATCGTGGGGCTCCCCCAATGCCTCTGCGGGAGCTGGGCTCCCCCTCTCTCCCAGCGGCCCAGCACGTGGCAATAACAACAACAACAATAACGCCATCGCCGTCAGCCTCTGCAGCCAGAGCCATGGCAGCCCGCGCCCGATGCGCCCGCCGATTAGGAGCCTACTATGAATGTTATCACATCTCAGGCGGTTTCAGGACCGGCCTTTTATTTTCTGGGGGCAGGCAGGCAGTGTGATGAGAATAGAGGATCAGAGAGAAATAAAACCCCGCGCCCCAGCTCAGGGCGCGGGCACCCAGGGCGGCCAGGCCTGCAGTCTGCGGGGGTCGGGTTTCAGCGCGCTGTCCCGGGCCTCCCCTCTCCATGCCCCCCCCCCGCCTCTCCTCTCCATATCCTCCCCCCGCCTCCCCTCTCCATGTCCTCCCCCCGCCTCCCCTCTCCATGTCCTCCCCCCGCCTCCCCTCTCGATGCCCCCCCTGCCCGGCCTCCCCTCTCCATGCCCCCCACCTCCCCTCTCCATGCCCCCCCCGCCCGGCCTCCCCTCTCCATGCCCCCCCACCTCCCCTCTCCATGCCCCCCGCCCGCCCCGGCCCGCCTCCTTTGCTCCAGGCCTGGAGGCGGCCTCGCTACGGAGAAGCGCGGACAAGGGATGCCAGGTCCGCGCGGGAGCGGCCAGCCCGCGTGCAGGGGTGTCGGGTGCGGGTGAGGGGCCGTCAGTCTTCCCGGAGGCCTCGGAGCCGAGGGCCTGGGCGCCGGCCGCTATTCCCCGCGGCGCAGGCTCGCCGCCGGGCTGCAGTGTTCGGCGGAGCCGGGACCGCGCGGGCGGCGCGGAGAGGGCTGCCGGCGAGGCGCGAAGACGGCGCGGGGAACCGCGGGAGCCGCAGCGGGGCGGCCGCTGGCATTTGCACGCACAGAGCCTGATGTCTGTGCGCCCTGCGCCGGCCACCGCGGCCCAAGGTCCAGGAGCCCCGTGGAGTTTCCCTTTTCGCTCAACAACAAAAAGTGCAGAGGCGGTGTCCCGGCGGCTCCCTCCGGTGTCCCTGAAGAAGGCGCAGGCGGGTCCGCCCGGGGCGCTGGGCTCGCCTGAGCACCCTCTCACCACTGGGCATCGACGGAGGCTCCCAGCACCTCGGGAGGGGGACCTGGCAGGCTTGGGTGGCGTCTTCTCCGCCCGACTCCCAGCCCTGCGCCGGCTCGCCCGGCCACGGAGGGCGGTGGGCACAGCCAGGCCTGGGTGTGGCTTTGCGCAGAGGAACGCTTAGGAAACCGCCTCTTGCGGGGGCACCGATCTGGGGGGGGGGGAGGGGTTGGAGTCGGACGGTCTGCGGAGAGTCTCCTGCCGCGGCCCCAGTGCCGGTCCAGATCCCAGGCGGCCAGAGGCCCCGGTGGGAAACGCGGGGACTAGGCCTCAGAAAGGAGCGCGCCTTCCAGCAGGCCCCGCTCAGGTCTCCCCTCCTCCGGGAGCGGCTGGCGGGCGCAGCAGGGCCTCTCTGGGGTTAGAGCTCAGAGAAAGCTGCTGATTTTTACAAATGTCATAAACAGAATCGAAAGTATCCTCTGCGTTCCGAGGTTTGACACCCACTTGGAGAGAAAAAGAAAATAAAGAAAAATGTCCCTATGCCACTGTGGACCTGATGTCTGCTTACATGCCTCTGGGGACAGGGATCTCATTCTCTTACAAAACTATCTTGCCCCTTAATCGTGTTATGATTTGCAAACAGATTAAAAAACAAAATGGTTTTTAATGTTGCTATACTGTCCTTTTATCAGAAAGTGTGCAATAGGGAATGGTTGTGCTGGTGGGCTTTTGTTTTTAATCTGGGAACCCGGAACTGCAAAGGCGGGCTGGGGGAGGAGGGCTACATCCTATTGTCCAGGCCCTACTGGTGCTCCGGGGCCTCCTCACTGAGCCGTGTCTTTGCAAATCCAGGGAGCCCTTCCCCGTGTGGAACAGAAACAGCCTGGAAGATTCCCTTTGGCAGCCTGATCCTCTGAGTGGTCTCTGAGTTCCTTTTACCTGGAGAAGAAAACTTTTTTCCAGCCAAGGAAGTTTGGCAATGGAGCAACCTCCGGGGGCAAGCATGGCCTCCTGGAGGTATGTCCCGGCTGCTTCCTGCTGGCCCAGGGGCCTCGCAGCTCGGAGGGGCAGGTGCTTTCCCGAATATACCTTGGGATGTTGTTTTCCTCACCCTGTACTTTTGGGGTAAAAGCAATAACAAAAGGTAAAAGCGAGTCACTCTGCTGAGGAGGAGGAATCCCTGACCAGGGGGACATTACCTGTTACTTTCTGGGGTGGTAATCATTCATTCAGGGAAGAGCACCACACTTTGAACACTTCCTCTGGTCAAGAGATGTGCACCTAAGTTACCTAGATATTTTCTGTGCTCACATAGAAAATGTCCAAAGTGTCTTCATCATTTTAAAAAGAGACACCAGTGCCCAGCCGTGGGGAGAGGCCTGGAGTCGCCCAGACTCAGAAACACACTGAGGAAATCTAGTCATTCCACCTTGGACAGCCAATATTTTACAATAAATTGGGGTTATTTTTATTTAATTAACTTTCAAGATTTTAAACACACAAAAATGCAGAGGGAATGTTCACAATTTGGATGACCACAGTTGGGAGATAGAAACATTTCTCATAAGATTATAAATATTTGATACTGGAACTGTAAAATGCACATTTTACAAACTAAAAAAGAAAAAAGAAAGAAAACCTTGCTTCCTGTGAAAAAGGCATATCATTTCATTGAGTTTCCTAAGCAGCAGATGGTTATTCACAGGATGTTAAATTACAACGTTTTGTTTTTATAGTTCCTTTTTTAAAAGGCTCACACTACTATGTACAGAGTGAAAGTGTTACCAAAGGAAAATGAAGAGGTTTAAGGCAGAGAGAAAGTCGCCTCCGTCCACGGGCTCACAAGGCCTGTGTGGCCACGGCGCCCCGAGCTGCGGGGACACTGGGACGTGGTTCTTTTCTGTACACTAAACAGAAGACAGTGTGGCATTACATAGAAAGATAATGTGTTTGTTTATATATATATATATATGTACGTGGCAAGGATATATTGAATATATTTAATTTACACTGTACCACACCTTCAAAAAATAAAATGTATATTTAAAAACAAAAGACAAAGTGATAAGAAATGGTTATTTACACATGTTCGTTCGTCCTTCCTCTGGATCCCTGAGGACGCAGAGAACCTTTAAAAGTCAAGGTAGCCACGTGTCCCAGAACTGGGGGCTCATATACACATATGTACACACCTTGAACACTCTCTGTAGCAGAAGTAGCCACTTATAAAAAAAAGGACACAAAAAAGAAAAAAAGCAAGAAAAGGCCACCTCTGTCTGGAGTCTCCTTCCTGCCTGCCTGTCGGTGATGGGCTTCCCTCACTTCCGGGGCCTGACAAGCATCTGAGGGGCCGGAGTGAGAGTCACCCCTCAGCTCGCAGCCCTGGTGCTGAGGCGGAGAGTTGGCACTAGCTGGGTCGGAGGGACAGGGGACAGCAACACAAATACAGATTCAGACAAGCACTCCCGGGCCTGGGGCAGGGAGAGAAGGCAGGAGGAGGGATGGAGCAGAGTGTGGTGAGACTGAAAACCACTGGGCCCTTGCCTAGCACAGGCCCGGCAAGAGGCATGGCCACTCTCCCCCAAAGGGCCTGGCTGAGGCTGGGGCACGGACCCTCCTGTTGCCCATGGCAAGGACCATATAAACAAAGTGGCAGAACTCATAGACCAAGTAGGAGCTATTTATTCGGTTCACAGTCGTGTGAAATGCAGCAATAAAAATCTTTGGACTTCAGCAAGTTGTTTAATTTTTTTCTTTTGAAATAAAAAAAGCGTCCCATAAGGAACTTAGGGGATTAAAAAAAAAAAAGATGAAACCCTAAGCAGCCCCCTTTGCAAAAAAATAAAATCATAAAATTAGCATAATCTCAAACACACAAAAATAAAAAAAATATTTCATAGTCAGATATTTTGGATTTTACACCACCTGTAAATTATATACACATAGAATATTGCAGAACCGTAGCTAACACACGACCTTTTCACTAGGAATGCTGGTATAATTTTTGTACACTTGCCCTTTTTGATAGCTTTAAATTATTGCATTGTTTCGCGCGCAGAGACGCGCAGGGAGAAGAAGCGCTACTCGCTGTCGGACTTGCCCTCCTTGGCGGCGGTGGAGTGGTTGTACAGGCCCTGCGCCATCAGGTGCACCGCCAGCGTGTTCTTGTTCCCCGTGGCCTTCTTGATCTTGGCGCGCTTGTTCTGGAACCAGATCTTGATCTGCGACTCGTTGAGGCCCAGCTCCTGGGCCAGGCTCTGGCGCCGCTGCTCTGTCAGGTACCTGTTGGTCTGGAACTCAGCCTTGAGCCTCTGCAGCTGCTCCGCCGTGAAGGCCGTGCGTGGCCGCTTGTCCTCTTTGTTGGGGTTCTTCTTCTTTGGTTTTCGGGACCTGGGGCCTGAGGAGGTGCAGAGGAGAGAATGCTGGTCAGGGGCTGCAGACCTGCCTGCTGGCTCAGAGCAGATCGCTCCAGCAGCGCGGGAGCACGCAGCTGCGGAGGGAGGCGCCCAAGGTCTCTGGGCTGGACTTTGGGGGGACTGGGCGTGAGCTGGCAACCACCACCAGGTCCCAACCCCGGAAAGAAGACTAGGGGCAGCGAAGCCTAGTGAGGGTGGAGTGGGTGCAGGGCAGACTGCGTGGAGAAGTCTCCAGACAGAAGGGAACATCCTGGAGGAAAGCAGCCCTACAGCCTGGCAGGCCTTGCTAGCCCTCCCGAGGCTCTGTCCCCTACAGACCGGCAGGCATCAGTGCTGGGCCAGAGATGGGGGGAAAGATGGGGGAGGGGCAGAGTAGCAGAAGCTCTGGGGGCTGTGGAGGGGCTCCCACAGGAACCTCACAGGGGACACCCAGAGAGTGCCAAGGGCTGAGGGTCCTGATCACGGGAGGGCCAGACATCTGCCTCCCCCTCCCCCTCCCCCCCCCCCCACACACACTGGCCCTGCAGGCCCAAGTTTATTGTTTCCTTTAAGGACCGAAGCAGTGAAGCAGTGTCCTCGGGTGGAAGCAGCCCTGCCAATCCAAGCTCCCCCTTCACCCCACCACGTCTTGGTCCCCAAGCACAGGAGGGAGAGCCTGTCCCTGCTGGCTGACCTCAGCTGCCTGCCTCCCTCCCCCCACCCACCGGAGCCCCCACTGAGGCCTCCTCAGGCTAGGACCTTCTCCACACTTGGGAAGTGGTTATAAGCTCCCAGGACCCCACCATCTGCAAAGGCCGAGCAGTGCAGAGGGAAGCGTTTTCTTTTTGTTGGTCAAGCTCACTGGAGCTGAGAGGGAGAAAGGAGGCCATGGAGGCTGCTGGGGTGCGGGGCTGCACCCCTAGGCCTCCATCTGTGAAGTGAGTGACTCAGCTTTGGGGCGCTCTCCACCTCGGCCTTTAAGAAGGTGCCTGTGGCTGGAGATTAAACCTTAGGCAGCCAGAACCCCAGGTCCCCACCCAGTCCCCAGCCCACCCTGCAGGCTGCACCCCCACCCAACCCACAGGGACCTGGGGGTGGGGATCCACAGCTCCAGGCTGTGCTGAGCCCAGGGCTGGGGATGGTCTGGGGAGCCAGCAGGCGTGGAGGCTGCCCTGGCCCAGCTCTCTCTCCTGGGAGGTAGACTCCCACAGCGGGCCGTGGGCACCAGAGAGGGGTTGCAGGGACTGCAGGGCTTTTCAAACTCCTGGCCTTTTAGATGATAAAGTACCACACTCCCGCTCTCGCCCCACAGGCCATCCACACACCAGGGGCACCAGCACCAAGCGCAGGCCGGCCTTGATCCCCACGGTGCAGAGGGGGGCAGTGGGCCAAGCGGCCGCAGGAGGGGCAGGGGGACTCTATGAGGCTGAAAGGACCAGGTGGTGTGCACGGGCCCGTTTTCAGGGGCCAGGTCAGTCCCCACTCCTTCCCTCGCCCCAGAGGCACACTTATCCCCCAAACTCCTCTGCTGCTGGGGTTCCTGCAGACACAGAACCGCCCCCCACCTCCCACCCCCCACCCCAACACACACACTAGTTCACTAGTTCAGGGAAAGAAAATTTCCCCAAAAGCAGAATTTTAGTGCCCTTTCTTCCTGGACTTTCTTTCAAAACGAAACACGTAGGAGTCTCGGAAACAGAACCAAACCTCAGCAAGAAAACTCTGCCTTGCTCTTTCCCGAAACCCCGAGGAACGAAGGAGATCTCACGGTTTGTTTGTTGTTTCAGTCCGGAGCCCCGGCTCTGGCCGCCGCCAGGCTCCTCGGGGCTGGTTTGGCGGGCTGCTCCCCGCGCACAAAGCCAGCGCGGCTCCTCGTGGCCCCATTGTGAGCCGCTATGTTAATTAAATATTAACAAAGGAGGGCGGCGAGAACAATGGAGCAAATTTCAGATCTAACTGGAGAAATTGGGGTTTCACGAGAGAGCCGGTCAAGGCAGCAGCCAGGCAGCGGGGTGAGGCTGTGTGGGGCCTGGGGAAACACGCTCTGCCAAGGGCTGGGGCAGGGGGTCCGGTTGGGGACAGACCCGCACTCAGTGCAGCTGGGTCTCACCGGGACTTGGCCTCGGCTTTTTAAAACCCAGACCTGTGAGACTCCAGCACCTACAGACCCTCTTCCCCTGCCCCTTCCCTGCGCGGGAGCAGCCGGGAGAAGTTCCCTTTGCTGGGGGCACCGCAGCCCCCTCCTCCAAGCTGTGTGCGGGGTGGCGCTGCACCCCCGCGGCGGGCACAGAGCCCTGGTGGGAGCAGAGCGCCGGTTCCGCTGCCCACTCCGCTCCGCTCCCGCCGCCCGCCCGCCCGCAGCGCCCGCCCGCGAGGGCGAGGAAAGAGCTGCCGCCGCTCTTCTCTTCCGGGCGCTTCTGGGGTTTCTGGGTCGCAGGAGGAATCTAGGTCCCAGCCACCCCCGTTTCCCACCAAATAAACTCCAGCCAGGGGATGGGGCTAGGGGCTGCGCGGAGAGGCCCCGAAAGGAGAGAGAGAGAGAGAGAGAGAGAGAGAGAGAGAGAGAGAGAGAGAGAGAGAGAGGTCCTGCCGCTCCTGCCATTCTGAGAAGTCTGAACACCCGGCCAACTGGCCCTGCGCCCTCGCCTCCGGCCGCAGCCCGGCCGCACAAAACCTCGCGGAGAGCGGCTTTGTGCCCTGGGGCGGGGGGGGTCCCGGCGTCTCCTCCCCGGACGCCCCCCCCCCCGCCGCCGCCGGGCGGCTCACCTGAAGAAGGCCGGTCGGAGTACCGCGTGCAGTAGACCCAGGCCGGCCAGAGCATGGGCTGCGCGCCCAGCGCGGCGCCGGCCTGCGAGCTGTCTGAGTCTGAGCTCAAGGACAGGTCGCCGCCTCCCAAGCCGCGCGCCTTGAGCGCCCCGTCCAGGGGGCCGCCGGGGTCGCCGCCTTTCTTCGCGTCGCCTTGCAGCGAGAGCGCCTTGGAGCCTCCTTCCCCTTCGCCCGGGGACTCGCTGCCGCCGCCCGGTAGCGGCCCGCCGGCACCCGGCGTGCAGGGCGCCCTGGGCCGGGGCTCCCGGGCAGACCCCGGCAGCGGGTCCGCGCCGCCCGCGCCGCCGCCTCGGTCCGCGCCGCCTTCGCAGCCGCCTCCGGCGCCCCTTCCTCCGCCCGCGCCGGCACAGCAGGTCCCCGCGTCCTTTCTCCGGCCGAACTCGGGCCGCAGGATGTTGTCGATGAAGAAGTTGGTGATGCGATGAGGGTGCTGGTGGTTGCCTGGCACCTGCAGGACCGCTGGCAGCGCCAGTGCCCGCCGGCGTCCCGTGTCTGCATCGCCGGGGCTGCCGCCGCCGCCGCCGCCCGCGCCGCCACCGGGGCTGGATTCTGGCTGCCACTGCCCCTCCGCCGCCGCCGCCGCGTCGCTGGGCTTGGAGTCATTCTCCTCCATGCTGTTCACGACAAATCCCAGATCGTTTCTCCGGGGACCCTCCGATCAGCCCTCTGCCCGCCGGCGGCGCACCAGGGGACCCCCGCGGCCAGCCCGCGCCGCCACCCCGCCGGGTCTTCCAAGGGCGGGCGCAGGGGCCGCGGCCAGGGCTGGGGTCCTGCAAGCCGCCGGCCGCGCTCGGAGCGGAGCTGTTCCAATCCGCGAGTTGAGTTCGAAAATACCAAGCGTTGCCCGGTGCCCCAAGCCTGGAGATTCAAAAGTCCGATCCCCCGGCGGCGGGGCGCGCGGGCGCTGGGCAGTCACAACGGTCCTGCAGGCACGCGGGGCGCCTCCGGGCTCCGCGCTCCTCTCCGCGCGCGGCCGCCCCTGCTCCGCCGCTGCCCGCGCTGCCGCCGCAGTGGCCGCCGCGGGCTGGAGCTGCGCGCATGCAGGCAGCGCTCCCGGCGCTTACGCCCGCCCGGGCCTGCTCCGGCCGCCGCCGCCGCCCGGCCGCCCTCGAGGGTGCGGGGCGCCGGCGGTCAGCGCGTCCGCCGCTGCCGGCACGCACATGGAGGCCCGCGGGCCCGCGCTGAGCTCGGCCGCCGCCCCGCCGCGGGCCTGGGCGCCCCACCTGCGTGCGGCCGCGCCCCCGCCGAGCCCCGCCGAGCCCCGCGGCCCGAGCCGCATGGGTGAGAAGTGGAGGCTGGGCCGGGCCGGGCGGCGCCGGGATGCCCGCGCTCCCTCGCCGCCTGCGCGCCCTCGCGGCCAAGACCTCCGCGCCGGCTCGGAAATTTCCAGGCCACTTAGCGCGACCTGAGACACTTTCACTCTGGATTTCGTTCTTATTTTTAACAGAGCCCCCTCCAGTGACGTCGCGGGCCGGGCTCATGGACACGTGCCTCGGGCCAATGGCCGTGGCGGCTCGCGCCCACGTGACGCGCCAACCGCGGCTGGGTGACAGGAGGCTCCGCCGCCCCGCCCCGCCCTCGCCACCCCGCCCTCCCTTAAAGCAGCCGCGTCCTCCGCCTCGGGGTGCGGGAGCCCCGAATCCGCGAGACCCTGACGGCGTCCCTGCGTTCGAACGCGCTTTCCCGTCGTTGGGACGGAAGGAACCCTTACGGTGGCATCCTCCGGTCACCCTGGTGTGCGGCCGCACACACGGTCTGGGAGATTGCAATTTTTAACATTTCCATATTGTTTACCGTGGGGAAAAAATCCCACAATTCCTTGCACAAAATGCATAAATCATATTAAATAGGCTGCCGAGATACAAAGGGACTTTTGTAGCACGCGTTCCTCGCTATGCAGAGGGCAGTTGTCACTTACGTTTGACTTTGGTGACTGGCAGGTTCCTGTGTTGAACGCAGAGCTGGCGCTCAGGACCCTCCTCCTGCAGGCACTTACTGTAAGTGTGCGTGTGTGTGCGTGTGCGTGTACAGAACGGCTCGTGCAGAAGGCAAGGTCCCCTGGGGACACCCATCCTCAGAAAACCGGCAGGTGGACCAGGAGGAGCGCGGGAACGGATTTCAGGCGCCGCGTGAGGGAGAAATAGTTGGGTTTGGAAATTCCTAGCCAACCACACGCCCTGCCCCCAGGCCTTCCACCTCCTCCTCCTCCTCTTCGTCTTAAATTCCTTAAAATGGTTTCACTGAGGAGCGGGGCCCATCGAAAAGGGATTTGTTTTCCCCTCCCTCCTTCCTCTGTCCCTTTTGAAACTTCCTTTCCAGCTGCTGTCAGATGTCCTCTTCTCTCCCCTTCTCCCTCAGGGTCCTGCCAGAAAGCTCCTCTCTCCTCACCCCCAACACCCTTGGTTACCCGAGGAGCACCTGTCCATTATTTAAAATGCATTTTATGGAAATTTGCACACTTTGAGAAAACACCCAGAAGGGCAATTCTGAGGGTGCGGGAGCATTGGCACAATAACAGTGCCCTTGGTGGAAAGGGGTGGAGGGGAAGAGGGGAGAGGAGGTGGTGTCCCGCACCCCAGGACTGGCCTGCAAAGGGTCAGAGGCGGCAGCTTCAGCTTCCGGTGCCAAACAGCCGAGGCCCATGCCAGTGTGGAGGAAGCTCTGGGTCAGTGCTGCCAGGTCAGGAGAGGGGGGAGGTCTGCAAGCAGCCCTCCAAGCAGAGTGATGGCCAGGCCCCGACCATCCCCCACCCAGCTCAGCTCTGCTCCTGTGCTCGCGCCACCCTGCCCCCCTTAGATCCTGTGCCCTTTCACCCGCTGCAGGCTCCAGGTGCAGCAGCTGCTCCGGTGGGAACTGGCCCCAGGGGGAGGGACATGGAGGGCAGAAGGAGGACCTGGACTGGCCACCAAAGGGGTGAGGCATGTAGATGCTGGGTGTGGGTAGGCTCTGGAGGCAGATGGGGAGCACATGTGTCCCCTGTGAGATTCAAGTAGGGTGAGGAAGCCACTACTCCCTTGAGGAGACTCACAAATCTTCCTCGCCCCCTCCCTCCAATTTGGAAGGGTTATCACGAAATTACCTGGCTAAGCACACACCTGCCAGGGACACTGCTTGGGTCTCAAAAAATGAAACCCCACAGTCTGCCAGCCCCTAGGAACACGGAGCTGCTGGGTTTGTGGGAACTGTCTACAGCTTGGGGAGCAGCCAGTCCCTTTGGGTGTCCTGAAGGCAGGGGGTGGGAGGACAGCGCAGGGCCCTCGGATCCCTGCACAGCGGTCCAGGCTAATTTCCCAGTCAGCCCCTGAAAACTAGTTAGGCCGCCTCCTAAGAAATACTTCCGTTTCTTGGGCATTACTGGGCCCAAGGTGGGGACTCCTGCTGTGTTCCTTCCTGTGACCCAGACCCCAGCTCCCCAAGAGAGCACTCTCCTGGCAAGCCTGGACTTAGGGTCTCCAGGCTGCTGGGAAGGAGGGGCACTCCTGGGCTTTTGGCCTGGGGGGCGGGGTCCGGGTGATGCAGCAGGGGCAGAGAGAGGAGTGAGGAGAGCAGTAACTGGGGGGTGGACATCTCAGGCTTCCCAGAGCCACCCAAACATTAGAGTCAGCCTGGAGAGTGGGCGCCATCCAGCAGGCCTCGGGAGGCTGTGGGATTTGGCCAAAGCTGCACAAATTGGTGTGCTCAGGGGCAGAGAGGATCCTGTCTTACATAGAAACCTCAAGCAGTTTCCAGAAGCTTCAAAAACGTGCTGGAGGCCCAGTTTGGGACGCAGCCCGGCTGCGTGTGCTTTTCTAGCGGGGTCGGGAGCCTGCTTTTCCAAGTCTCTGATCCCGGACCTAACGGTGCTGGCCCACGCCCTTTTCTCCAGTCCTGACCTGCCGAGGCCCTCAGGGCCCGTCTCTGTGCAACCAGGCAGGCCACCTGGGACACCTGGGTCTCCCCACGCAAGCCCAGCTGGGGAGCGCCAGCCCTTCTCCTCTGGCGGGAGGGGGCGCGGCTTCCTGAGGACAGCCCCATTCCTTCCCCTCCGCCGGCCTGGGGTGGTGTGGGGTGGACAGGCTATCTGAGCCTGAAGAGGCTTCCCCACAGGAGGATTTTTAACATTGACTCCAGTGGTGCCACAAATAACATCTGGCACCTGAGGGTGGCAGGGGTTCCTGGAGACTCGGGTGCCTAGCTGTGGAACCAGGCCCCCTCCCTGCTTTTTCTTAAAACTAGGCCGGAGGAGGATGACTTTTCTGAAGGCTCTGCTCCCCTCACTTCCCGCACTCCTCTGGGCAGGTGAGGGACACTGGGGGGAGCCACTGCCATGGCAGTGGGTTCGCCCTGGGGACATTGGCACTGGGCTGGTAGATGTGCCCCGCATTTGGGAGAGCCACCCTGGACCTCAGCACAGCCAGCAGGGGAGCCCTGAGCAGGGCAGGAGCCGCCCTCCATCCTTGCAAAGCGCTGTGCCCCGCCTTAGACAAAGGCAAAAGCGGGCCAGGGATGGGGACACTGTGGCCTGGAGCCAGGACCACTAAGAGTGACCAGGAAGGGAAAGGAGGGGTTAAAGGCAGCGGAGGTGCCTAGAAAGGGAGGGTGGGGCACCTGCCTTTGTCTCAGGATAGTTCTGCCCCACACCGCCCAGGGCCCCAGCCAGAGGCACCCTTCAGCCCGGGAGCCTGAGGAGGGTGGTGGGCAGCCTTGCTGGTCTGGGCCCTCTCCCAAGGCGAGAGCAGAAGTGGTTTGTGCTCAGCCACAGCCCCCTCGGTGCTGGGGTTGGGAAGTGGGTGAGGCCCCCACTGGCGATGGGCCCCCATGGAGACAGGCTCCTGCCCAGCCGCAGAGAAAGGACCTCCTTTCGATGCTCAGCCCCGGTGCTGGCTGGGCAGGCCGGAGCTGCACATAGGGCAGCTGTTCCAGAGCGGAGACCTCCATGCAGAACCTCCTAGAACCTGCTTCTCCTGAAAACAGAGCTTCTAAGGACAGCGAGGAAGACTCTCAACGCACTGCACTCTGTCCTGGCACCACTCGTGGGTTGCTGCTGGGACTCCTGCCTTAGACACCCTGACTGTCCTCGGAATCATCCTCTGTCCTGAGAACCTTTCCCGTGTCCTCACAACTGTGGAAGCTGGGCCCCTGCCCGGGAGGTGGCTGTGGCATCAGCTGGGAGCGCAGGCTGGGGGGCCCTCTGGGAGTCATACCGATGGCTCTCCCCTGACACCTCTCCCGAAAGGAAATCTCAGAGCGGCAGGGCCCAGAGGAAAACAGTCTAAGGGTCCAGAAGCGAACAGAAGAGCTGGTTTGGGGAGGTCTGAAGAGCAGCTTGTACAGCTCACACCTCGCACCCAGCGAGAACAAAAACTTGCGGGGACGGGAGACCTGAGGGAAGGCCGCCCTGTTCCAATCTTACAATTACTTACGAACAACGGGGGAAACTCCAGTATCTGTTCGCCAGCCTCCTTTTGACCTTTGGAAGGAAAACAAGCTTTTCAAAAGAAGCGCTCAACACCTGCTTCCCCTCTCCGAGCACCAGGGCTGTTCTTTCTCCCCCAAGACGGGGTCAGCATGGAGGCTGGGGCGCTGGAATACACCAGCTTTAACGAATTTTAGCAAAAACGATTGGAGTGGCAG